GNNNGNNCTAACCTAGCAACAAAAGACAACTAAACTAGCAGCGAGAAAGAAATAATCTAGCAACAAAAGACAACTAACCTAGCAGCAAGAAAGAACTAACCTAGCAACACAAGACAACTAACCTAGCAGCAAGAAAGAACTAACCTAGCAAATAAAAACAACTAACCTAGCAGCGAGAAAGAAATAATCTAGCAACAAAAGACAACTAAACTAGCAGCGAGAAAGAAATAATCTAGCAACAAAAGACAACTAACTTAGCAGCAAGAAAGAACTAACCTAGCAACACAAGACAACTAACGTAGCAAGAAAGAAATAACATAACAAAAGACAAATGGTCAACGGTCAACGTCAGAAGTCAACGCCGGAAGTCAACGGTCAACGTCGGAAGTCAACATTTGATCACCGGAAGTCAACGGTCAACGCCGGAAATCAACGGTCAACGCCGCAGTCAATGGTCAATGGTCTTAATAATATTTAAATAATTAAAAATAAAGAGTTAAATAATAAAAATAAAGAATTATTATTTAAATCAAGATCTAAATCTTGTGGCTAGGAATGAGTCTCACGTCCTCACTTTAAATAATGGGATGCATTGGAACCAATCCCTATATATATATATATATATATCTTGTGCCTTTTTTTTTTCTCGATCGATCATCAAAAACCCGCAGTCATATATCTCTCTGTTTCTATCGCAAAGCGCCGCAGCCTCTTTTCTCTCCCATCTCGATCACGCTGAGAACAGAAGATTTTTCTTCGTCCCGTTCATCAAATCCTACTCCATCATAATCGGTCACCATCATCACCCCTCATCACCCCTCATCACCGCCTCATCTCCATCACCGACCGCCATCGCCTCCCCTCTGCAAAATCTGATGCCGCGAACCAGGAACTTCTCTGCCGCCAGACTCAGCACCACCTCCGCGACGACGCACAGCAGTCCCGCGATCCCGGCGACCAGCTCACGCGCAACAACCTCCAACTCAATCGTTGTCCCCGCTCGTGACCAAACCACCTCCGGCGAGTTCATCCTCTCGCGCAGCAACCTCCGGTGGCCCTTCTCCTCCGCGACAAGCCGCTGCAACCCCTCCTCCATTCGTGATCAGCAAGCCGCGAGCACCCCATCAGCGAACATCTAAGCTGCGCAGCACTTCCGCAAGTCGCCGATCCGCCGCCCGCTGCAACCTCGCGAGTTCCTCCGACGACTTTCCATTCGCAAGCTGGCCACCAACAGTGACAAGGAGAACCCTGCGACGACCTCAGCGGCGAGCAAGCTGCTTCTACGCGACCAGTCGAGCCACTGCCCTTCATCCCCAGCGAGCCGTGCGAAGCCGTCGAGCCGTTGTGCCGTCGTTTTTTCGTTCGATCCCTCCATTACGGTTTTCGAGCGTAATCCCGAGAACGGTACCGAGGCTCATCCCTCTCATTAAATTTCATGTTTAAATTGACGTGTTGATCGTGTTTGAGAATATATAAATGCCTATGATTTTATGAGTTCAATATGTTAAATGTGTGTAGACGAGCTCTTCGATTTTGAGAAGTCGAACGAGACCTCATCAGTTCGTGTCTAAGTGGCTGTGGATTGGACCATTATATAATCCTTGGTCTTATGGCAAAGACCTCGAGCGATTTCGTCGTAAATCGAGTCTTTGATAAATTGTCGAAATTGTTTAGTGGTTGTTTTCGTAATAAAATCATGATAAATTGTATACTGCTCGGATTGAATTAAAATTTTGTGAGTATGGCTCTCTAATGCATGTGCAGCTCGTGTAAAAATTTCATAATTTTTCATGGCCTGTATCTAAATTATTTAATTAATATGATTTCTAGGCAGAAATGTATTAAATACATATTAAATTGAGTCATACTCTAAAATTGATGAAATTTGAATATGTTGTCTCTATGCCTGATTTAGACCTTGTGTACAATGTTCAGAATTTTTGGACTCTGTTAGCTTAGGTAAATAATTTATTTTGTGATTCTGCCGAAAATTTTTTCAATTATGATAAAATGATATGATGCTGAAAAATTCTGATTTTTGGTTGAAGTGCTGATTTTGTAATGCGTTTCATTCATTAAAAATATTGGAATTTTTAGAGTTCGTTAGGTTCTTTTCTGTTGAAAATCTAAAATCTGCTGAATGTTGTTACAATTTTATTAATTCGAGTGTTAGGTGTTTAAAGCTGATATTTTTTTACACACTGTTATTCATATGCTGATGTTCCTTGGATAAAACTTTCTAAGTTTGAATCATTCATTCAGTCGGTACTAAATTGATGCTTGTTTTTGCTGCAAACTTGTCTGAATTTTATAAAATAGTATACTTTGAGTTTGGGGCTGAAACTTGGTGGTTTTACTAAGTTCTGGGACGTGAATTTTTATTTTAAATTTCAGAGCCTAACTCATTCGGTAACCTGACCAACCAAATTATGTGAATTACCGACTTTTATTTCAAAAATGTAGTTTTTGTGTTAAAAGCTATAAGCCGGTTCACTCGTTGTGTTTGAGACTTGTTTGGAATATCTCCTATATGACATTGCGTGAACTTTCATGTTTGGTCGAGTCCGAGTGTAAGTGTTCCACCGTGCACAGGACTTCACGAATTTGTTATGTCTCGAAACTTGTGCTTTATTTTGGGAACCCGATATAGGTGAATTGATGATTTATGGATTTATGAACCCCGTTTTGGGAGTTAGATGATTTATGTTATGAAATGGATTTTCTGTCATGGAAATGATTTGAAATAATTGAGTAACGCCACAAATGCTTGAAATAAATTTTGAAAAATTTAAACTAATTTTTCTGAAAGTCCGAAATTTATTTAAAGGGCGTTACAGTTTGGTATCAGAGACAGTCTGCGTTTCTGTAGACTGGTAAACTCCGACTGGGGAAAATACGGATGAGGGACAATTAAACGTGCATACATACTAGGTCTGGGTTGGCAGTACGGAAGCATAAAATAAAGTACAGTACAATCTGAAATTATTATACAGGCCAACATAACATAAGCCAGACATGGTATCTGGCTGCTCTGCGGCCTGCTCCTGGTCGAGTTCCAAGCAATTTCTTACAGGGCTTATCATCTTCTAAGTGTTTATTAGAATTTTATAAGTCTTGTGGAGTTCCTAAGCTCGGCCAAATCATACCACGAATTGACCGAGCCCAAGACCCGAGCCAAGCCATGCCAAATAGTTGGTTAAGTGTTTGGCTCATCCTTGACATTTTTCTAAGTCTTTGGATCACAAAAAGATGCATTATACCCGGGCCAACCTTCATGCACGTTGAATTATATGAACTCTGTGAAAATATGTGAATTCTATGATGTAAGTTATGACCACTCGCTTTCGTCGTGCCTCGCCAACTCAGGTATGAGTTTCATAATTAATTTGAAATTGATTATGAGTTGTCTGATTTATGTGATAATATGACATGATGTGAATTGGGGCTTAGGAGTTTATCCACCTATTTTGAAATTTGTTGAAGTCTAGTGTTTCATGGCGAACTCTAGATTTCCCTCGATCATTATTGTGCTAAATTCTTTCGGCCTATTCAATGTAGAATTATGACCAATCAAACCCGCAATGCCCAAAACAATCAGCAAAACTTGCCTTCGCTTCCGCCTCTGCCTCCACCTCATCAGCACGACCACCGTAAGACTATTATCAAGTTCCAACAGTTGACTCCACCGGCTTTCACCGGGTTTGAGGGGCCCACAGCCGTGGCTGACTGGATTCACAAGTTAGAGCGGATGTTCAATCTCTTGATGTGCACGGATGAGCAGAAGATTGTCTGTGCTGAATATCAGATGGTGGGAGATGCTGACACCAGGTGGCACGACCACTGGAGACTTAGGCCGGGTGAGGACGCTAATCTCACCTGGGACAGAATGAAGAAGGTGATACTCGAGAAGTACTACCCACTCAGCTACCAGAAGCAGATGTAGCGTGAGTTCTGGGATCTCCGTCAGGGGACCCAGACTGTTGAAGAGTACGAGCGGGATTTTACCCGCATGAGCGGTTTTGCTCCAACACTGGTGGACACCGAGGTTAAGAAGGCCACAAAGTTCCATGACGGACTACACCCAGATCTTTGCATGCACCTCACTAGCCAGGGAAACCTTCCCTATGGTGAAACTGTTATCCGTGCCCAGCAGCTGGAGAGCTATCAAAAACTCTTTGCCTCAGCTCCTTCTCAGCCTCTTGCACAGTCCGTGCATCCCATCACCTCAGTTCAGCTAGGCTCTAGCTCAAACAAAAGAAAGGCCGACTTCCACCGGGACAACCGAAATGGAAAACGTGGAGGGAATGACCAACGTGAGGAGCGCCCTGCCACTCAGGGTCAGAATCCAAAGTGCCCTAATTGCAGCCTCTACCACTCAGGACAGTGCCGGTAGCAACAGAAGGTCTGCTTCAACTGTCAGAGCCCCGGGCATTTCTACAGTGCATGCCCCGAACCCAAGAGGCAGCAACCGTATCAGCAGCCGCTCCAGCAGCAGCGGCCCTATCAGCAGCAGCAGCAACTTCCACCGCCGCATCAGCAGCAGATTCAGCAGCCAAAACAGTAGCATTAGTAGGCCCAACCGAGGTTTGGCGAAGGAGGTAGAGCATGGGTATACATTATGGCCCATAATGAAGCCGAGTCGCACCATGATTGATCATTTGACCGAATGTCGGACATGAGATGATTATTTTCCCTTCGTTTGTTAGAATGTCATTTCTCTTAGCTTTTGGCAAACCTTGTTTATTTTCTTTTGCTCGCAAGACAAGTTTGCATTGTGTTTTGGAGACTCCTCTTGGTTATTCAATTATTGTAATTTAGAAATTTCGCTTGTCTTTTCTTTCCATGCGTGGAATGAGTTCCGGATGGAGTTAAAAATCTTAATTCCTGTTGATCTAATCTATTTTTGTAAATTTAAAAATCTTGTTTCATGATACCTTTAAGTCGAGGCAAAAAGCTCAAGAGAGGGAATAATGTTGCAACTCTGGAGAATAACTGGGCCTCGAGATAGGCGACAAATCAATTATTCTTTTGTGATCAAATTGAACGATATACCGGAGAATTGTACGTGGAAGTCCTCGCATACCTGATCGGGAAGAGCTTTGATGCAATTCTAGAAACGTTTTGGGATAGAAGAAGTCTGTTAAGGAGGGTAGCCAAGGAGTCGTGGGAAACATCGTGAGTAATCACCACTGGAAGGAGTTACGACTGAAGAGGATGATAATGAAGTTCTGCAAGACTACTGACTCAGATGAAGTATAAGCACTCTGACGGCGAAGTCGGTATACTTGGATACCGGGGTTTGGACTGGGGTCGCAGCAAACCGGTGAATTTCCGATCTTCGTCTATGTATCAACACGGGGAGATGTAACAGTTGATGTCGAATGAGCCGCAGCTACTGGCTGCGAGTGGTGCAGGCGTACTGTGTGCTGGTGCCGTGCACAGGCGTGCCACGCTCGATGATGCATCTCGAGTTGTAGGAAGTGTCGTGCGTAGTGTGCCGCATGTAGCGTGCCACGTTGCCGCATGCCAGGCCAGCCATTCATGCCACAGCTGCCAAGTCACTAGCTGCAGGTCAAGCGAGACCTTACCTTTGAGGAGGTACCGGTATCCATTTTGGACCAGAAGGTCCATCAGTTGAGGAACCGGGCGGTGAGTCTCGTGAAGGTGCAGTGGAGCCGACATGATGAGTCCGAGGCGACTTGGGAGAAGGAGGTCGAGATTAGGAGGAGATATCCGAACTTCTCGTGTTGAGTCCCTCGTATTCTTTTTCTTTGAGTTGTTGGTTTCTTTTGTTATTCGAATCCCGAGGACGGAATTCTTTTTAAGGTGGGTAGACTATAATGTCCCGTCTAATTGTGGATTATTTGGGATTTATTTATAATAATAATAATAATAATAATAATTATTATTATTATTATTATTCTTATTCTTATTATTATTATTATTATTATCATTATTGTTATTATTATTATTATTATTATTATTATTATTATTATTATTATTGAATGTCTAAATAATATTTATTTGCCAAATTGAAATTAAATGCCTAAATGTCTAAATGTTACTATTATTTAATATTAATTAACTTGTGNCTTGATTTACAAGAGAAAAGCCCTAAGTATATATATATATAGATATATATATATATCTTGCGTCTTTTTTTTTCTCGATCGATCATCAAAAACCCGCAGTCATATATCGCTCTGTTTCTATCGCAAAGCGCCACAGTCTCTTTTTTCTCCCATCTCGATCACGCTAAGAAGAGAAGATTTTTCTTCGTCCCGTTCATCAAATCCTGGTCCATCATAATCGGTCACCATCATCACCCCTCATCACCGCCTCATCTCCATCACCGACCGCCATCGCCTTCCCTCTGCAAAATCTGACGCCGCGAACCAGGAACTTCTCCGCTGCGAGACTAAGCACCACCGCCGCGACGATGCACAGCAGGCCCGCGATCCGGCGACCCGCTCACGCGCAGCAACCTCCGACTCAATCGCTGTCCCCGCTCGCGACCAAACCACCTCCGGCGAGTTCATCCTCTCGCGCAGCAACCTTCGGCGGCCCTTCTCCTCCGCGACGAGCCGCTGCAACCCCTCCTCCGTTCGCGACCAGCAAGCCACAAGCACCCCAGTAGCGAACATCTACGCTGCGCAGCACCTCTGCAAGTCGCCGATCCGCCGCCCGCTGCACCCTCGCGAGTTCCTCCGGCGACTTTCCGTTCGCGAGCAGGCCACCAGCAGCAACAACGAGAACCCCTGCGACGACCTCAGCAGCGAGCAAGCTGCTCCTACGTGACCAGTCGAGCCGCTGCCCTTCTTCCCCAGTGAGCCGCGCGAAGCCGTCGAGCCGTCGTGCCGTCCTTTTTCCGTTCGATCCCTCTGTTCTGGTTTTCGAGCGTAATCCCGAGAACGGTACCGAGGCTCATCCCACTCATTAAATTTCGTGTTTAAATTGACTTGTTGATCGTGTTTGCGAATATATAAATGCCTATGATTTTATGAGTTCAATATGTTAAATGTGTGTAGACGAGCTCTTCGATTTTGAGAAGTCGAACGAGACCTCGTCAATTCGTGTCTAAGTTACTGTGGATTGGGATATTATATGATCCTTGGTCTTATGGCGAAGACCTCGGGAGATTTCGTAGTAAATCGAGTCTTTGATAAATTGTCGACATTGTTTAGTGACTATTTTAGTAATAAAATCATGATAAATTGTATATTGCTCGGATTGAAGTGAAATTTTGTGAGTAAGGCCCTCTGATGAATGTGCAGCTCGTATAAAAATTTCATAATTTTTCAGGGTAAAATATACAGTACCCGCTTGTATTATACAAAATTTGCGCGTTTCCCCCCTGTATTTTAAAAATTGCATCAAACCCCCTTGTATTGTAGTTTTCATGCGCGAATTACCCGAAATCATTGAAGTTGACAGAAGTGTGGTTCACGCACCTGTGCTGCAACCATTTCTTCCAATTTCACTTCAGAAGTCCGCGAAAGTACAATTGTACCCCTCAACACCCCTTTAAATAGCCAGTAACCCTCAGCCCTATTTCCTCCATCACATTACCTCATTTTGGCGCAAAACTCCCATCATCTGCTCCAGAATGTGGCGCCAAACAGGTACAGTCTTTTTTTTTGTTGAAATTATTTGGTATGCTTTTTTTTTCTTTCATCTTCTCCAGAATCTGGTATGCTTATTTTTTGGTTTCATATTGTCCGCATCTTTTTTTGCAGCATTTTTTTTTTCAGCAATTTTTTTTTGCACACAGACTTGGATTTTTTTTCCCAACAGTCTTGGATATTTTGGCACAAATTTATTCAGTAATTTTTTTTTCCATCAGCAGCAATTTTTTTCTTTTTTTAAATATCATTTTTATATATGTCTTTTAATATGATTGTTGGTTGAAAATGTCTTCCCAAAAATCAAGGACGGCAAAGAATGAAGGTCTTGATTTAAGGTATAGGCACCCTAAATGTAAGTGCAACACATTTGCTCAACTTAGGGTTGTGGGTTCTACAAAAGAAAGTGTCGGCAAGCTATTTTGCACTTGTCCATACAACAAGTGTCGTTTTTTTTATTGGCTTAACTCTACCTCAGTGAATTGGGAGAAGCCAAATCAAATCCATGAAGATGATGTTTGTTATGAAGATGATGATGAAGTTGAATCAACGGGAGCAAATATAATAAACCAACATGCAGAAGTTGCAACAATGGTGAAG